CGAGCGGAAACGCTCTCTGAGCTGGAGACGAGCTCTGCGGATCCAAGGGATCAAAACATCAGGGACCTCACCCTTGGTGCGCAAGGGGAAGACCGTGGTGTAGCGCGAGTAGTCGTCAACAACGATCAGGAAGTACCTCTCCTGACCCTGACCACGGACGCGGGCTGGGCCCCACACGTCCATGTGGAGCGTCTGCAAAGGAGCAGTCGTCGGGGGAAACGAGGAGGAGTGAGGAGCGGCGCGCTGCCGCCCCTCGACACAGGGAAGGCAGGGAGGAGCAGGCGAGGGTGGGAGAGGAGGGAGTACCCTGGGAAGACCAGAGACAAGGTACCGGGAGTGCATGGCACGAAGGCGCTGCACAGACGGGTGGCCAAGTCGGTGGTGCCAGAGGACAGTCTCGTGCGCTAGAGAGCGACACGAGCAGGGGGCAGACAGCTGACCTGACGCGGACGCAAACGCAGACGCAGACGCAGCGACCTGAGGGGAGGCAGTAGTGAGTGCGTACAGGTCCGACCCCGGATGCCGGGTGAAGGTAGCCAAGTGGCGGCCCGTACGAGCACACGTGCAGTGTGTCACACGCTCGTAGGCAGGGGTGAACTGGTGAACACCCCCGTCCTGGAGAGCACAACCTGCCACCAAGTTCGTGGAGAACGAGGGGAGGTGGAGACTTGACAGTGTGCCCGACGGGACCGCAGGACAGGGAAGGACAGTGGAGGAGGTCGCAATGACCGGACCCCCAGAGGGGTCAGCAAGGGAGACAGCAACTGGCCGAGCAAGGGGCTCAAGGGCAGTGCGGTCACGAAAGAAACAGCGAGAGGCACCTGAATCCAGCGTGAAGGTGTGCAGTGTTGCAGTCGACACCGTACCAGGGGGGGCAGACACGCACGCACCTGGAGCAGCAGCCTCACCAGCACCTGGGGTAGTAGACACGTGGGTACCTGGAGCAGCAGACGCACTCGTCCTAATGCCCGGGTCGGGCGGGACACTCAGGTACTCAGAACCCTCTCCACTATTAGACATCACATACATGGCAGAGAGAATAGCATCAAAGTCTAGAGCATAGATATCAATCCCCTTCTTCAGGAGATCAAGCCAGCGGGGCAGCTCAGTGGCCTGAGGGAACTGAACACGCCAAGCGTCGCTTAGACGAGCGAAGCAACGCTGTGTGGCGTGCGGTCCCCCACACGGCTGGCCAGTGCGGTCACCAGTGCAAATGACGTACGTGCAGCTAAGGCCACCCCCCCCCCCCCCCCCGTGCTGAGAGTACCACTTACGGACCTCCTGGGGCGAGGGAGTGTGCTGCTGTCGCTGGCCACCGCCAGTGCTGCCACGCCCACCACTCCCGCCACCACCTCCTCGACCACCCCAACCCCTGCCGCCGCCTCGTCCACCGCCACCCCCACTACCTCCTCCGCCCCGGCCACCTCCCCCGCTGCTGCCGCCACCCCCACCACCACTGCCCCCTCCCCCACCCGCGCCACTCCCCCCGCCACCACCTCCCCCACCACCGCCACCCCCGCCGTCACCACCACCGCCCTTGCCCCCCTTGCCCTTGCCGCTGCGGCGTCCGCTCGAAGCAGACGCAGTCCCGACCTTCTCAGCACCAAGGAGGTCGACAGCAGCAGCAGAGGCGACAGAGGGAAGAAGGGGGGAGGGAGAACACCCCTCAAAGAACGGGGTGCGGGGGGTCACCGCGAGAGGCACCTACAGCGACTATGCTAGTCTTGGCTGCAAGGAGTTCCTTCTCGAGGAGGGCAATGGTGAGCTCAGTGGGGCAGCGAGCGAGGAAGTGGTCCCTGACTGAGCGCAGCGAGTCAGGGAGGCGCGTGACTAGGTGGTAGAGAGTGATCCAGAGCGGGGGTGGGTTCGTGGCGAGGAACTCATCAGGCATAGCGGCGCGGAAGCGAGCCTCACTAGTGCGGAGGTGGGTAATGAGGTCAGCGACAGTGTGAAAGGAAGCTAAGTCAGGGAACAGGTAGGGAAGAGAGAGACGGCCTAGAGCAGCAGAGGCCGGTGAGGAGTAGCGGGCAACGACAGCAGTGTACAGTGCCTGAGCAGTCTTGTGCTGCCCAAAGTGCTCGCGCTCATCTATCGGCAGAGAGTTGCGGATAGCGAAGCGAGCATGGGCGTCACGAGTCTGCCACTGTGAGCGAGCAGTGCTGTCGGTAGTAGCAGCAGGAGCAGTAGTGTGGCCTAGGGCGTGATCGTACAGTGAGATGTCTTCCTTGGCAGTGAGCTGGAGGAAGAGGTGTAGGTCATCAAGCCAGGTGTCGAACTTCATTGGGCGGCCCTCAGCATCAAAGGCTAGCACCGGAGGGCTAGCCATGGTAGCAGCAGTAGTAAAAGCAGTAAGAGCAGTAGGTAGGTAGGGCGGCGCGGCTCGGTACAGGTAGGGCGGCGCGGCTCGGTATAGGTAGGGCGGCGCGGCTCGGGTCGGGCGGCGCGGCTCGGTTCGGGCGGCTCGGGTCGGGCGGCGCGGCTCGGGTCGGGCGGCTCGGTTCCGTTAGGGCCGGGCTGTTCGGTGCGGGCGGCGCGGTCTAGGTGGGGCCGTTCGAGGCGGCTAAGGGTGAGCGCGGGGAGCGGGTGGGGTTGGGGACGGGGCCGACGCGGGCCGAAAGGGGTAGGATCGGGGCCTACGCGGGCCGAAAGGGGTAGGGACGGGGCCGACGCGGGCTGTTAGGGGTAGAGACGGGGCCGACGCGGGCTGTCAGGGGTAGGGACGGGGCCGACGCGGGCCTCTAGGGGTAGGGACGGGGGCCGACGCGGGCCTCTAGGGGTAGGATCGGGGCCGTCGCGGGCCTCTAGGGGTAGGGACGGGGCCGTCGCGGGCCTCTAGGGGTAAGGACGGGGCCGTCGCGGGCCTCTAGGGGTAGGCTCGGGGCCGACGCGGGCCTCTAGGGTAGGCGCGGGGCCGACGCGGGCCTCTAGGGGACGAGCTCGGGGCCGACGCGGGCCGTTAGGGTTAGGCGCGGGGCCGATTCGGGGCCTCTAGGTGCAACAACGCGGGGCCTACAGGGCCTCTAGAGGCGTGAACGTCGAGGCGCCCTAGGGCAGGTAGGCAGATAGGCAGGTAGGTAGTGGTGGGCCCTTAGGAAAAACGGTCCTGGGAAGGACCTGCTCTATACCATGTTGAACAAGGAATGAAATGACTAAGAATGAAATGAGTACAAATATGGAAACCTAGAAGTGTGTACCCCCTATAGGCTAACCCACTGTAGCCTAAACAACTACAACAATATATAAGGTTTGACATGTCGACGTGCTAACCATGCTGTGCAAGGAATGAAGTGGAAAGGTGAGTATGGAGTGCGTATTGTCTTGATCGGTTTAAATTTTTTTGTGTGCAGATCCGTATTCTCCTACATAATATGGCGCTCTCATTATTGCGCTACCTTTAACCTGACTCTCATATTTCGTAGACATGGCCCGTTCTAAACATGTATATGGCCGTATTCTACCGCGGCTGATAAGTAAGTACAGTAGCTGCATTTTCTATCACTTCCTTTTTGTGCTGCTCTTGCGCCTTTCGATGTCTACTACTAATTCGTATTCTCCTGACTAAGATCTGTTTTTGCAGGTACCATGGCTAAGAGGGAAAAAACTAACCTGCCTTTGTTGACATTTGATGTTTCTGGTTTTCCGTGTGTGTTCAGAACTCCAGGCTCAAGTGGTTGAAAGGGCAGCAATGTTTGCTTCTGCTGAAGTACCTTCAGTTATATTATGTAGTTGTGCCAGATCATGTTGATTATGGTGTTAGTGCAAATAGTCAGGTCTGATGTATCGAAATTTATATTTATAAAAATCTAAATTTCTTCATACCTAACTAACAATTTTTCACAAATTGTATTGCATGCGCCCATATGCGTCTCAAAATCTGATTGGTCCACGTGGCAATTTCCGGTCCACTATTCACCTTGACAGCTGGCAAGAAATATCTTCATACGTGGCGTTCAGGCGTCCACGTGGCGTAGGGGTGCAAAAATCGACTTAAAGCCCAAGATTTTCAGACAAATGTCACTTCTGATGTCACCTGTTCGATGTGTTTCGAGTAGCGATATGGCCGTTTTTCCAAAGCTTTGTCGTCACTTTTCCGCAACTTCGAAGTCACCCCGCCACAGAAGCCTTTGACCTAGACTTTTTTTCTTCGAACCAAAGTTGCGTGCCAGCAACTTTGAAGTTGCTGGCACGCAACTTTTCAGGCCTTGGATTTTCGCGATGCGGCGCGCTGTTTCGTCGCAACGCTCGGTCTGCTCCTTGTGACTTACCACTCTTTCAAGTCCTCTGCCACGCGGCACTCGCCTACCAAGTCACGCGCATTACTAGCGGCGCATTCCCGCCCGTTCGATGCTTTTGAGTCGACTCAAAACTCACCTCTTTCAAATCCTCCTACGAGGCACTCGCCTACTAAGCGTGTATTAGCGGCGCATTCCCGCCCGTCCGATGCTACAAATCGTTCGACGACTGTTTACGAGCAGGGATTTGCGGCCCTGCACTCGTTTCAGCGACAAAATCGACTGCGCCTCGCGAAAATTGCGACGTTTAACTTCGATGCGAATGTTACAAGTCGTGAGTTTTCAGGTTACGGCTTCTCGCGCTACGAGTTTCTCGAGTTACCCGTTCCGTCTGTCCCCGAGAATCTGACGTGGAGCAACGCATACCCCGTATGGGTGAACGAGTCCCGCTCATCCTGCCCGGAAATTCCAGAGCCGGAAAGACCGAATTGGCTGGGCGACGTCGACGCAAATGTCGCACACGTACCCTGCGACGAGACGAAAGATTCCTGGGCAAAGGATATTCGATGGCAACAGCAGCTCCTAACGATCGTAGGCTTCGTCATCAGCGTAAGAAGTGTCGACATGCTTTGCGATAGGTACTTTAGAAGAAAGAAGAAACAAGGTCCTTCCATGTTGAAACTCTCCCCGTCGCTTCACCCGCTCTCCATTTACTGCTATCACTCTCCTCTTCATACTATTCCCTTCCCCTTATCGCTCTTGTAACAGGCAAATCGGCCGTGGTTACCAGTGGTGTTACTCTCCGCCTGCCGCCCGCCGCCTAACCTCTTCCACTGCTCGCGACTCGTGACGCGGGAGGGTGACACGTGGCTCTACAACCTGACGACCAATGACATGCTCACACGTGTACAGCCCCTGGGATCATGTGCCATGGCTCAGTCAATCCGAAGCAATGTGTCAGCTAGCACGACACGATTGCAACGCATTTAGCACATTAAGTTTTTTACTTTACATGCATCCGACTATTCACCCTTCTAAACTCCCCTCCTTTCCTTCTCCCCCCATCTCAGCCAACCAGCGCGTCGTGTATGCTACACTCATCGGAGCGGTATGTGTGTGGCGCAATAGTACTGGGGCATAGCATAAGGAGGACGGGGAGCAGTCACGAGATGGTTGTGCTTGTATCGAAGGAGATCAAAGAGGAGAGCAGGCGAGGGCTGAGAGGGGCGGGGTGGACGGTGAAGGAGATTGAGAGGATTCGCAACCCCAACGCACGCGATGGGAGTTATAACGAATGGAATTACAGGTTTGTGTGCTCATATCGAGTGGAGGTAGGTGTGTGTGTGTGTGTGTGTGTGTGTGTGTGTGTGTGTGTGTGTGTGTGTGTGTGTGTGTGTGTGTGTGTGTGTGTGTGTGTGTATGTGTGTGTGTGTTGGCTTTGTCGACTTTTTGATTATGAATATGTTCATTCATCCCATCAATTCTGCTACTACAAGCTGTCACAGTCTTTGTTGGGTTTATTAACTCAATCTGACATCTGCTGACTCGCTTTGACTTATTCACTCCTCTTGACCCCACCCGCCCCCACCACCTCCAGCAAGCTGCGGCTGTGGCAGCAGACGGAGTACGCCAAGCTGCTCCTTATTGACTCTCGTTGACTCCATTAACCCCCTACGCCCCCCTCCCCCCCACCAGCAAGCTGCGGCTGTGGCAGCAGGCGGAGTACACCAAGCTGGTCTTCATTGACTCGGACCTGCTCCTCTTGAACAGCGTTGACTTTCTCTTCTCCTACCCCGAGATCTCCGCCCGCGGAAACGACGGCTCAGATTTCAACCCGGGCGTGATGGTCCTGGAGCCGTCAAATTGCACGTTTGAGGTGCTGATGGAGAACCTGAGGAGAGTGCGATCGGCAAACGGAGGGGACCAGGTGAGTGAGACCATGTGTGATGTGATGTGATGCGATGCGATGCGATGCGATGCAATGCAATGTGATGTGATGTGATGTCTTACGCCGCGTGCACTCTCCTTCTCCATTCCTTTCCCTAAACCACATGGTTCCATTCAACCTCCTGTCGCCTTTTATATCTAGCTCACCACTTATCCTCTTCCCCCCATCACCACTTCCCCTCTTCCCTTTCCCACCTTCCCTCCCCCCTCCCCAGGGCTTCTTGAACAATGTCTTCACCTGGTGGCACCGCTTACCAGAGTCCATAAACACCCTCAAACCCGTCTGGACCTCTGACCCTGTGAAGAAACAAGCGATCATCGACATGAAGAGCAGGTTGTTCTTACAAGACCCTTCGGAGATTCACGCAATACACTACCTTGGCATGAAGCCATGGTGGTGTTACCGTGAATTTGATTGCAACGTGCTGATACCCGATTTTGTCGACTTTGCTAATGAGGCGGCTCATAATAGGTGGTGGAGTGCACATGATTCGCTGCCACAGCCACTAAAGCAATTCTGCTGGATTACAAGTGAAGCAGAGGATAAGCTGACACGGCTGATTGAACAATCCAAGCCAACTCAGGCGCTTTAATTAGCCTAATTTATTAGGTTAGGTTCTGACTAGGCATTTTATGTGTCATGTGCACTTGTGCTAGGTAGTATGTAGTCTATAGAAGGGGTATTTTTTCGTCAGGATGGCATCACTCCGCCTTTGCAAGATATAGCCTAACAAGTTGTTGATTTGTGTATTCATATAATAGGTGTATCAAGAGATAATAGACTAAAGACATAGATACGATATTATAGCCGGTTATGGTACGGTATATGAAGTGAACAAGTGATACGTAGCTCAACAGTACTGGTGTTACTGCTATCACAACAACGAAACACTGTGCTGCGTGTTGTTTCTTAGCTGACAACAACAACACACTCTGCCAAGTAAAACTATTGTGAAACTGAACGCCTTATAAATGGTGCTACTAGATCAGCTCACCCCCCTCATCAGGGAACGTCATCATCAGACTTAGCCTGTCTCCACCATTGCCCGACATCCCATGCTGCCCTGCTGCCCACCCTCCATACATCCCCCCACGCTGCCGAATATGGTGCAACCCACCCCTCTTTTCATCAAGGAAAGTCATAATCAGACTGAGCCTGTCCCCACCTCTGCCCGACAACCCCACACTGCCACCCCCCCGCACAACCCTACCCCACCCTGTTGCTTGTGCTGCCAAGCGGCCATTCGCTCCGTCATCCTACACCTCCCCTCCCAGTCCCCCCCCTCTCCATCTGTCTACCCGTCTTCCCCTCTCCCCCCCACCCATTCCCACAAACTCTTCTCTCCTTTCATCTGAGATTCAGCTCACGCAATGTAACATTTTCACTGAATGTCAACACTACTCTGAACCCTCTCTGTCTCCCTATCAACCCATCCCCACCACCCCAGTAGACGGTGTCACCCATCCTAACCGAACCCTACCCTTTCACCGGGGATTCACGTCTCTTTTATGCACACTCCCACTGAACGTCATTGTCGGACTCAACCCATCCCCACCGCTGCTCGACGTCCCACCCTTCCCTCCTTGCAGCTTCATTCGCTCCTCATACCACGAAACCTCCTCATCCTCATCCTCCTCACCCCAATCCTCCCTTGCAGCCCCTCCTGACGCCGCTGCAGCTATTTCCTTCCAGAACCTGTCACTCGTTTGTGACTTGGACGCACACACAGGCTCCCCTTCCATATTGTACCCTTCGCCATTCTCACGCGTGTCACTATCACCACCACCAACATCAGCAACACCGGTAGCAGCAGCACCACCAGGAGCAGCAAAGCCACCAGCATCACCAGCACCAGCAGCACGGGAAGCAGAAACCCAGTTCAACCGCCTCTTAATCCCTTCCAACTCCTTCAAAACCTGCTGCATGTCAGGTCGGTTCTGAACCTGCTTCAAGCTACACCGCATTGCCAGCCGCACAAACCACTCAAACGTTTCCTCCAAGGCCTCACTCCCACACGTCTCCTCCATTGCCTTCCCCTCACTCATCCCCACCTTTCCACCTCCCCCACCACCTCTCCCTTCCCCTCCGCCCTCTGTTCCCCCTTCTCCTCCCCCCCTTCCCCCCCCTGCTCCCCCCCCTGCTCCTCCACCCACTGCTCCCCCCTACCCGCTCCCCTTCTCCCACATGGCTTTCAGAACCGGGTCCATGACACTGTTCACGCCGCCCTCGTTGGTAACCCTATCGATCACAATCCGTCTGATGTGCTCCCCGTCGGTCACCGGGCGGAGGCCAGTGGCGAGCTCTAGCAGCACGATGCCGAAGCTGTAGACGTCGCTCTTCTCAGTTAGCAGGTCGCTCTGGAAATATTGTGGGTCCAAATAGCCCTGAGGAAGAGTAAAAGGGGGCAAGAAGGGGGAGAGGAGCATGAGGAGCGGAGGCCAGTGGCGAGCTCTAGCAGCACGATTCCAAAGCTGTAGACGTCGCTCTTCTCAGTTAGCAGGTCAGACTGGAAGTAACGCGGGTCCTGATAGCCCTGGTGGAGGATTAACGGTGACAAGACAAAGGGGGAGAGGAGCATGAGGGGCGGAGGCCGGTGGCCAGCTCTAGCGACACGATGCCAAAGCTGTACACGTCACTCTTCTCTGTGAATAAATCGCACTGGAAGTACTGCAGATCCAAATAGCCCTGTGGGAAGGGGAAAGGGGTGGTGGGGGTTGGGTTGATACGCAATATCAATACGTGATACCTCGATGTGTGGATAGATGGCATGGTAACCCTATGGATCACAATCCTTTAAATCTGCTCTCCGTTGCTCACCAGGCGAAGGCCAGTGGCCAGCTCTAACAGCAAGATCCCCTCCCCCCTCAACCTCCCCCCATTCCACTCACCACAGTGCCCTTCACTTGTGTGATAAGTCGACTCTTGAGTCAACTAAAAAAAGCGACTTATCACACTCACCAGGCGGAGGCCAGTGGCCAGCTCTAACAGCAAGATCCCCTCCCCCCTCAACCTCCCCCCATTCCACTCACCACCGTGCCTTTCACTTGCGTCTCCAGCCTCCCCCCGCCCTCCGCCTCCTCAGGCACAGCCTTGGAAATACCAAAGTCGGCCACCTTGGCCTCGAGGCCTGCTGTGATGAGGATGTTGGCCGTCTGGAGAAGAAAGGTTGGGGGAGGGGGGTGGGAAGGAGTCAGGGAAGCATGCATGCGTTTAGACTTGGAAATACCAAAGTCAGCCACCTTGGCCTCGAGATCTGCTGTGATTAGGATGTTGGCCGTCTGGTGTGGGAGGAGGAGGGGAAATGGCAGGGGACAGGAGGAAAGGGGAATGGGGCAGGGAAAAGGGAGCATATGCGTTCAGCCTTGGAGATTCCAAAGTCGGACACCTTTGGAATGACACGCGCAAGTAAGAGGGAGGAAGGGGAAGAGGGATGGGGGGATAATGGGTGGCTTGATTTGATGGTGCAGGTAGTATTACTCCACTTGCATTGCCTGCACATGTCCAACAAGCTGACTCTTGAGTCGACTCAAAAGTCTGCATTGCGTGCACATGTCCAACGCACATGAGCATGCAAACACGCATCTTGCTGCAGCGCACACGCAATTCCACAGGCCACGCCATAGGTAATGCAAGCTTGAATGCGAACATATGGAATGCACACGTCTCACACACACGACACGCGCATGCATGCACGCATGCATGCACGCATGTATGCACGCATGTATGCACGCATGTATGCACACATGTATGCACGCATGTATGCATGTATGCCGCATGTATGCATGTATGTATGCATGTATGCCGCATGTACGCATGTATGTATGCATGTATGTTCCCACCAGACTCACCTTGACATCGCGGTGGATAATAGGGGGCTTGATCTGATGGTGCAGGTACGCAAACCCACTGGCTGCCCCACATGCAATGTTGACTCGCTGCCGCCATGTCAACTGGTGCTTTGAGTTGGCTGTTGGTTTCGCAAAGAGGGGGAGCGGGGAGAAGAGGAGAACAAAAGGGGGCTTCTAAGACGAGGAGAAGAGGGAGGGAGAGGCTTCTAAGACGTCTCAGAAACCCACGACTGGAGGCTCAAACCCTTCTCTGTCCGAAAAATCAGGAGAGTCAAGTCAATACTCGTGGGGACCCACGACTGGAGGTTCAATACTCGTGGGGATTACTTTATTAGGGGGGCAGGAAGCTGCGGGGGACGAATGCAATCAACGCTATGGCACCGGGGGATTACTTTACTAGTGGGGCAGGAGGCAGTGGGGGACGAATGCAATCAACGCTATGGCACCTTGGGATTACTTTACTAGTGACTGCGATGGTGAGCTGCCCTCTCCCTGCTGCATATGAGGTGACTTTTGAGCCGACTCAAAAGGCACCTCGTTACAACAATGCCACTAGGGACTACGATGGTGAGCTGCCCTCTCCCTGCTGCACCAGGTGGCATCAACACAACGGCAGCTGATACATACGATCACCACACCAGTTCTATTCACCTCGCAGCATATCTTCCAGCGTCCCCCAATGAATTCATACACCAGCAGCTGCCCGCCCGCCTCCACACAGAAGAAGCCATTGAGAGCACTCACCATCAGGTGGTATCATCCCCTCCCTCCACCCTTCCTCTTCAGTGCTCCAATACCCCAATGAATTCATACACCAGCACCTGGGAGAGGCACGCTAGAAGATATTCCTTAGTGCTCCAATACCCTTGCCACATACCTCGCAGCATATCTTCCAGCGACTTTTGAGGCGCCTCAAAAGCCCTTGCCACATACTACTTTTGAGCGTGCCAATACCCTAGTGCTCCAATACTAGTGCTCCAATACTACCTTATTGCTCCAATACTAGTGCTCCAATACCCTTGCCACATACCTCGCAACATATCTTCCAGCGACTTTTGAGGCGCCTCAAAAGCCCTTGCCACATACTACTTTTGAGCGTGCCAATACCCTAGTGCTCCAATACTACCTTAGTGTTCCAATAATAGTGCTCCAATACCCTTGCCACATACCTCGCAGCATATCTTCCAGCGTGCCTCTCTCAATGAATTCATACACCAGCACCGGCTCCACACTCAAGCCCCCACTTGATTCCACGGATCATTCCCCCTAGTCCTTCATTCCCCCTAGTCCTTTACTGCCACTTGATACTCACGTCTCAGCATATCCGTTAACGTGTCTCTCTCGATACATTCTTACACCAGCAGCTGCTCGTGTGCCTCCACACTCAAGCCCTACAGGTCACCGATCATCCCCCCCCCCTGTCCTTTACTTCACACCCCCTTGATACTCACGTCTCAGCATATCCTCCAACGTCCCTCGCTCGATGAACTCATGCACCAGCAGCTGCTCGCCCGCCTCCACACAGAACCCTTTCAGAGAGCCGCCGGGACGCATTAACGCTACATCCGATACCACTTGCACATGTACCTCTCAGCATGTCTTCCAAGGTGCCCCTCTCGATGAACTCATACACCAGCAGCTGCTCGCCCGCCTCCACACAGTGCTGAGAGAAGCTGGATCGGTTTCAGCCGCAACTGATCTTTCATGAACCCTACTCGGGCAGACGAGCTGCTGACGTGTCAGCATCCATAGGAGACGTCTGGTCTAGACACCTCTTGAAAAAAGGAGTGTTTTGAGACGTCTCAAAAAAGGAGTGTTTTGAGACGTCTAAAAAAAGGAGTGTTTTGAGACGTCTCAAAAAATGAGTGTTTTGAGACGTCTAAAAAAAGGAGTGTTTTGAGACGTCTAAAAAAAGGAGTGTTTTGAGACGTCTCAAAAAAGGAGTGTTTTGAGACGTCTAAAAAAAGGAGTGTTTTGAGACGTCTCAAAAAAGGAGTGTTTTGAGACGTCTAAAAAAAGGAGTGTTTTGAGACGCCTCAAAAAAGGAGTGTTTTGAGACGTCTCAAAAAAGGAGTGTTTTGAAACGTCTCAAAAAAGGAGTGTTTTGAGACGTCTCAAAACACTCCTTTTTTCACGTGTCAGCATCCATAGGAGACGTCTGGTCTAGACACCTAAACAATCAACGTCGCTTTGAGTACATCACTGGCTCACATGGAAAATCATCGGATGATCTACCTGACGATTCATCATCCACCTGAAAATCCACCTGACGATTCATCATCCACCTAAAGGGTCGCCTGAGAGTGCTCCTGGCTTACCTTCACATGCCCCTTGGCTCGTTTCACTGCCACCACCTCTCCATTTTTGAGCACTCCTCGGTACACCTGAGGATGGTTCAAATTCGAGGAGCAGAGAAGTGGGGAGAGAAAAAGGGTGTGGTGAGCAGAGACGTGAGGAAAGGCATGGTCAAAACTTTACCATATCCCAACTGTGTAGGAGAGGTACATCTGCCCCATACTCCGCCCCCTCACAGATGTACCCGGCCCATGCTCCACCCCTTCACAGATATACCTGTCCGTATCCGCCCTCCCCCAGCGGCGTCTTGAACCCCTGGGTGGCGTCGGCTATCTCCTTCAGCTTGCACCGGTGCACCCCCAGAGCCTGCAGCCCCTCTATTGCTTTGTAGTCTTCAGAACTCCACAGGTCTGATCATGGCGGAATGGGGAGGGGTGAGGAGAAGTTGGGAGGGGTGGAGAAGTGTGAGGATGGGTGGGGATAGGTGGAGAGCACTTATTGCCTCAGACTGAGCGGCACCAGTGACCAGCGCCTGCAGCCCCTCGATTGCTTCGTGGTCTTCCGAACTCCACAGGTCTGAAAGTTCAAGAGAACACAGAGGTGGGAAGCGATGGAAAGTGGTGAAGATGGGTGGGGAAGGTTGGGGAGGGGTGAGGAGGGATGGGAAGGTGTGGGTAGCACATATGAACTCAGCTTGCACCAGTGCACGCCCAGCGCCTGCAGCCCCTCTATCGCCTTAGAGTCTTCCGAGCTCCACAGGTCTGATCATGAAGGAAATGGCGCGATGGGTGGGAGGAAGGGCGCGATGCTAGGTGGAAGGGGGCGGGGCGTGCTGGGGGGAGCGACTTTTGAGAATTCTCAAAAGGGGCGGGGCGTGCTAGGGGGAGCGGTAGGTGGAAATCTCCTTGAGCTTGCACCAGTGCACTCCCAGCGCCTGCAGCCCCTCTATTGCTTTGTATTCCTCTGAGCTCCACACGTCTGAAGTTGACAGGGTGAGGAGGGGTGAGGAGGGGTTGGCAGGAGTGGGGAGGGATGAGGACGGGTGGGGATCAAACATTGTCCAGCTTGCACCGGCGCACGCCCAGTGCCCGCAGCCCCTTGCGTTGTGGTTCCAAGCTCCAAAGGTCTGATGATGTAAGGGAGGTGGGAAGCAGTGGGGAGGGAGGGGTGGGGAGGGATGCAGAGTACACTGGTGAACCCACAGTATCGGCTTTAGTCATCCCAGCTCCACAGGTCATATAGGATTCAGTCTTGAGAATTCCGCGGCTTTGCTCTGGCAACTCAGCATACTATAGAGTCGTTACCGTGCTGTTACACGGCTGCAAGACCGAACGTAGGTTCCATTGGCTCACCTTAGTTTCTGTTCCTTTGCAGCACCAGCCACTCGATCAGGTTTTGAGACATATTCAAACAAGAAAAACTCTCTTGAGACTTCTCAATAGTAGGTTCCATTGGCTCACCTCTGTTTCTGTTCCTTTGCAGCAGCAGCCACACGAGCAGCAGAGCAATGAGAGCTAGGAGCACCACTCCCCCCACCACGATGCCCAAGATTGCAGCAGTCGTCATGCTCCCTCCCCCAGCAGGCGCCACTGGGGGGGTTGGTGGGGGATCTGGGGGATGGAGGAGGGGGGGGGAAGAGGGGGAGGATCAGGGGGCGGATGGGGGGAGGGGGGGTGGGGGTTGAGAGAGCAGAGCAATGAGAGCTAGGAGCACCACTCCTCCCACCACGATGCCCACGATTGCACATGCCCCCTCCCCCAGTAGATGTTACAGGGGGGACGGGAGGGGGAGCTGGGAGTGCAGGTGGGGGGGAGATGAGTGGAAGGGAAAGAAGAAAGAGAAGAGAGTTGAGGGAGCAGAGCAACGAGAATGAGGAGCACTAATCCCCCCACCACGATGCCCACGATCGCAGCAGTGGTCATGCCCCCTCTGCCAGTAGACGTTACAGGTGTCAACGGGAGCGTTGTAAGGCCCCGTCCTCGCTTGGGCGGAGCCAACCTTGTGGTCGGATGTGCGGGGGTTGCAGCCGACATGCAACAGTGGGCACGGGGGCCACTGCAAGGGCGACGAGGACGGCGTCCTGGGAGGCTGGACGCCGAGCTGGGCGTCGTCACGATCACCCGGGCGCCAGGTCGACGTCGTGGGCGTCTGCACGGCGTCCGGGGGTCCGGACGTCGACCTGAGCGTCGGGTCCCGACACCGACCTGGGTGTCTAGTCGGCGTCCTGGGAGGAAGGACGCCGCTCTGGAGGCTTTGGTCGGCGTCCTGGGCGTCTGGACGCCGACCTGGGGGTTCGGAGGGCGTCCTGGGCGTGCCTGGACGCCAGACGGGGGACGCCGGGCATGCGTGGCCGGCTACGGACTGCGTGAGCCGACCAGGCGTGGTTTCCCGGTCGATCGGGATACCCGGGCGATGTGCGCAAGTGTCGCCAGGGTGGAGTCAGCGAGGCCGACCTCGGGGGTGGTATCCCGAGGTCGACGTGGCTGGTGGGCACAGTCGCTGGCGTGGAGTCTGCCAGGCGTCTGCGCTGTGCACGTGACAGGGAAGCGTGCACCAACCAGCTGCACGCACCTGCGAAGCAGGTGCACCGTTGCCCTACGGGTGCAGCGCTGTACAGCCGACTTGCTGCAGCGCTGGCACACCGTGGACTTGCAACGTTGGCGAACCGCTACTCTGCAACGCTGGAGCAGTGCGAGCGCTGCTGCGCTGGAGCACGGTCGACCGTGCTGCGTTGGAGGTTGACCAGCAGCCTAGCTAGCACTGATGTAGTCTATGATGCCAATGTTGTTGCTATCATTGTTGTCATGTTTTCCTAGTGAAACTCTTGCTAATTTTTCCCGTGAACCAGCAAGAAGTGTGAACACAAGGAAACGACTAAGTGAACGAACGCAGAGATCACTCGAGCACACGTGCCTAGCCCGTAGCCTAGCTCCCGTTGCAGCAGTTATCTCCGCAACAGGGGGGGTTGGTGGCGGAGCTGGGGGTGCAGATGGGGAGATAGACGGGGAGAAAGAAGGGGTTGGGGGGGATAAGGAGAGGAGTGTGCGCATGGAAGGAGAGTGCGCATTGTGAAAATTGAAACGAGAATGATTCAACTATGAAAGAGTTGGGTACAAGTACTAACCCTAATTGGGTTGTACCCCATATGGGCTACCCCACTACAGCCTACACAAATGTATAAGCTATATGTTCTGACACACCACCATAGGCAAAGTGGGGGAGAACAAGGGGTCACAAGACCAGCCAAGCAAAGCAAGCCCAGGGTGGATCACAAAGTCACCACACATTCCGAGCACAAGTTCAAGGCCATAAGGCCAGTTCACATGCAGGATTACATATATATATAAGGCTAGACAAGCAAGAGCAGGTATATATATATATTTAACAGTACAAACAAGGTCAAGGGGGAAGCAAGTGAGGCAAGACAGGCACAAGACCCAGCTGAGTGCAAAAGCGCTGATGATCACAAGACGCAAGTGCCTTGGTGAAAACATCAGCATTGTTGGCCTCAAAGGCCACGTACGCAAGCTGCAACTGACCACGCTGCTGTAGCTCACGAGCAAGGAAGTAGCGGAGAGCAATGTGCTTTGTTCTGTGCTCCAGTCTCTCCTCTCAACACAAGGCCAGCATGGCCTTGTTGTCTACGTACAGGACTGGAGGAGAACGAGGCGGCTCTCCAAGGTCGGTCAGCAGGTAGGTGAGCCAGCGAAGCTCCTGTGCAGCCATGCCCCCGGCGTAGATCTCAGCCTCACAACTGGAGCCGAGAACAGAAGACGAGCGAGTAGCCCGCCACGAAACAGAGCCGGAACCAAGGCTGAAGGTGTAACCCTGGGACGACCGCTGCGTAGCCTGGTCGTCAGCCCAAGAAGCGTCTGCGTGCCCAGTGAGGACCACTGGACTCCGCCCTCCAAGCACTAGCCCCATGCCCGACGTACTGCACAAGTAGCGCAACACCCTCTTCGCTGCAGCCATGTGCTCTGGTCGGTGTCTCCCAGGAGCAACATAGCGTGCAAGAATGCTAAGAGGGTATGCAAGGTCAGGTCGTGTGCAGGTCATCAGGTACATGAGGCAGCCAACAAGCTCTGGATATGGGCCACTCGACTCTACGGACTCATCCGAAGGTAGAGCTGAGAGTGAGTGGCGAGTAGGCAGAGGAGTGGCCTGAGGCGAGGAGTACGTGAAGCCGAAGCGCTGAAGGACCTGCTGCACCATGTGTGACTGAGTCAGGGTAATGGTGCGGCGTGCTCTGTCCCGGGTGATCTGCAAGCCAAGGTAGCTGCGCAGTTCACCCAGGTCAGTGCACGTGTGTCTCTTTTGCAGCTCAGACTTCACGTGGGCGAGTCCAGCAGTGTCAGCTGTGGCAAAGACCAAGTCGTCGACGTACACGAGGATGTAGAACGGCGGCAGAGAGGTGTCGGTGCGCAGAAACAGTGACGTGTCGGCAGTAGAAGGAGCAAACCCAAGAGCCGCAAGCGTAGTCCTCAGTGTGTCGTGCCACTCACGTGGCGCCTGGCGGACACCGTAGACTGGACGCCGGAGACTCCACTGGGTACCAGGAGGGAAAGACCCAGTGAAGCCAGGTGGGCGGCGCAGCCAGATCTCCTCGTGCACGCTGCCCTGCAAGAAAGCAGTGCTGAAGTCGAGAGAGTGCAACTCGTAGTCACGGTGAGCAGCAACGTGCAGCAGTACCCGAAGAGTGGTCATCTTCGGGGTGGGGGAGAAGGTCTGAAAGTAGTCAACTCCCTGCCGCTGACTGAAGCCACGAGCCACGTAACGCGCCTTGAAGACAGGCGGAGAACTCGGCGGCCGCTTCACCCTGGAAATCCACATGCCACTGACAATGTTCGCCCCAGGAGGGGGGATAGCGTCAACGTAGGTGCCTGTGGACTTCCAGGAAGCCATCTCTGCATCCATAGCTGCCTGCCACTAAGAGGAGTAGGGACCCTCTATCGCCTCCGCGTAAGAGCGCGGAGTCGGGATGTCAAGTGCATCCGGGTCTCCCTCAGGGGTAAGCAGTACGGACACGAGATGAGGTGAAGCAGCTGCTAGACACTGGAACTCCTCCTGCTTGTCCTCAAGGACGTCCGTGCCAAGGGCACACTCACCCCCGACGGACGGAGGACAGACAGACTCAGACTCAGCGACAAGACTAGCAGCGTAGTCTAGGCGACAGCGAGCAGCAAAGTCGACGAGCTCAGCAACTAGGGCAGACGCAGCAGTGGACTCGAAAGAAGGGTCAGTGACGACAATAGCCAGGAGACTTGTGACAGTAGGACTGGCAGCACGAAGAGAGTCCGACTCCGGGTCGGCAAGAGCAGGAAGAGAGGACTCAGGAGGAGAAGGCAAAGGGGCACGCAGAAGAGAAGTGGACGGACGCAGAGACATCCTGTGCGTGCCAGGGACAGGAGGAGGACGCGGACGCGAACCACGACCACTAGCGCGAGCAGCACGGACAGGCGACGTAGGGCGAGACGCAGGCTCACGACGCTCAGCAGGACCCCCAGTAGGACTAGTGTAGGGAGAAGGAGCAGGCAAAGGGGAGGTAGGCTGCAACTGTAACTGTGACGGGACAGGCTGTGGACACTCTAAGGGAGGAGGAGGACCAGTAGAAGGTGGAAGACCAAGAACCTGCTGCAGGAGTGGAACGAAGTACGGTCGAGGCCGCGTGGCGACGCGAGAAACAGCAGGGACAGCACCAGTACCTCCAGCAGGAGCACCCGCTCCAGCAGCACCTCCAGCAGCTCCATAACCTCCAACAGTACCAGGAGCACCCCCAGCAGGACCGCCAGTGGTAGTCTCAACGCCAACACCCTCAGCAGCACCAGCTCCAGTCGAACCTGCAGGCCCTGCAGCTCCAGTACTCCCAGGACGAGCACCTCCGGGACCCGCGACAGCAGCACCCTCAGTAGTCGACGAACCTCCAGCACCAGCAGCACGGCTCCAGCGCCGGGCAAACCACTCGCGGAGCTCCTGTGGAGAGAGTGGCTCCCGGCGAGACGAAGCACCCGGAGAACCTCCAGGCGGAGCACCTCCAGGCTCGGCACCCCCAGGTCCAGCACCCCCAGGCAAAGCACCCCTAGGCGTAGCACCCCCAGGCTCAGCACCCCCAGGCTCAGCACCCCCGGGCTCAGCACCCCCAGGCTCAGCAGCCCCGGGCTCAGCACCTTCAGGCGTAGCACCCCCAGGCTCAGCACCCCCAGGCTCAGCACCACTAGGCTCACCACCCCCAGTAGCCGAAGAACCTCCAGCACCAGCAGCATGGCTCCAGCGCCGGGCAAACCACTCACGCAGCTCCTGTGGAGAGAGTGGCTCCCGGCGAGACGAAGCACCCGGAGAACCTCCAGGCGGAGCACCTCCAGGCTCAGCACCCCCAGGCCCGGCACCCCCAGGCAAAGCACCCCCAGGCGTAGCACCCCTAGGCTCAGCACCCCCAGGCTCAGCACCCCCAGGCTCAGCACCCTCAGCAGCACCAGAGTCACCAGTGACCTCGACAGGCTCGACTGCGTCTACCTGGGACACACCTGAAGGGACAGGACCCTGACGGGGGAGGGGGTCTACCCGGGGGGGACCTGGTACAAGGAAGAGCGGGGGCGGGGGGAGGGACGGAGTGCGGTAGGGGAAGAGGCGGTAGTAGGGGACCGACTCGTCAAACTTGACGTCCTGGGAGGACAGAACACGGCGAGAGGTGGGGTGGTAGAACTGCCACCCAGGCGCGTCAGGGGGGAACCCCAGGAAGACGCAAGGAGTAGCACGAGGGGACAGCTTGTCCGCAGACAGGTCGCGGACAAACGCCCGAGATCCCCAGACCCGGAACGCCGACGCATCGCCAACCTTCCCCGTCCACAGCAAGGCTGGGGAGGTCTCCGGCCTGGAGACCCTGGGGTGAAGGTTGATCTGATGCGCCGCGTACCTCACCGCAAACGGCCACAGAAAATGGGGGGCAGCCGCATGCATCATAGACGTATGAGCGACGTCCATGACCATGCCAATGTGGCGCTCAGCAATCCCATTTTGCTGCGGAGAGTCTGGAAGCGTGAAGGTCTGACGGATGCCCCGTGCGCGACAGTAGGCTCTCAGAAGGCCAGAGGAAAACTCTCCGCCTCTGTCCGAGTGCTGACGCAGAACAGGAAAGTCCGAGCCAAAGCTCTGCCTGAGCTGGAGACGAGCTGCGCGGATCCAGTCGATCAGCACCTCAGTGACATCACCCTTGCTGCGCAAGGGGAAGACTGCGGTGTAACGCGAGTAGTCGTCAACAACTAGCAGGAAGTAGCGCTCGTGACCCTGTCCACGGACGCGGGCTGGGCCCCACACGTCCATGTGAAGCGTCTGCAACGGGGCCTCTGTCGGAGGAAACTGGGAGGAGTGAGGGGCAGCACGCTGGCGCCCCTCGACACAGGAGACGACACGAACAGGGGGCAGACTCAGGACCAGACCTGGACGCTGCAGCAAACACCTGACCCGACGCAGCTACCCTACCAGACTCAGCAACTGGAGGAGACGCAGTGGTCAGTGTGTACAGGCTCGACCCCGGCCGACGAGTAAACGTGGCCAGGTGTCGGCCTGTCCGAGCGTCTGTGCAGTGGGTCACCCGCTGACTCGCAGGAGTGAACTGGTGAACCCCCGCATCCTGCAGGTCAGCACCACTCACCAAGTTCGTAGAGAACGAGGGGAGGTAAAGACCAGACAGGGTGCCAGAGGGGGCCGCCGGACACGGGAGGACAGTGGAGAAGTGAGCAAGGACAGGACCCCCAGAGGGGTCTGCCAGAGAGACTGCAACTGGCCGACCAAGCGGCGTGAGTGTGGTGCGGTCTCGAAAGAAGGAGCGGGAAGCCCCCGAGTCAAGGGTGAAGGTGTGAGAGGCCGGAGCCGACGCGGTACCTGAGAGAGCAGACTCACCCGCACCTGAGGAAGCAGACTCACAAGCACCTAGAGCAGCAGCCGCACCTGTACCTGGAGCAGGAGACACACTAGCACCCAGAGCAGCAGCCGCACCAGCAGCTAGAGCAGCAGGCTCTATACCCGGGTCAGGCGGTACGCACAGGTGACCGGCACGGTCAGCACTAGTAGGCAATGCATACATGGCAGTGAGAATAGCATCATAGTCAAGAGCAAATATATCTACCCTCTGCCTAAGCAACTCCACCCAGTCGGGGAGCTCAGCCTCGTCGCCAAACTCGGTATGCCAGGCGTCGCTCAGACGGGCGAAGGACGGTGTGTGACTAGGCGTCCCACAAGGCTGACCAGTCCGAGCACCAGTGCGAATCACGTAAGAGCAGTGAACAGATCTGAGAGACCCTCTACTCTGAGCGTACCACTCACGAAGCTGCTGGGGCGTGAGAGACGCGCGTGGGCGTCGCTGGAGCTGCATCTGGCCGCCGCCAGTAGAAGCAGGAGCAGGAGTAGCAGCAGTAAGGCAGGCAGCCAAGCAAGCAGCAGGCAGCGCGCTAGTAAGTCAGGGGCTCACCAGTGGTGGGAAGAGCAGGCTCGACGACTCGGCGACTCGGCGACTCGGCGGCACGGCGGCACTGCAGCAACTGCGGCTCGGCGGCTCGGGCGACTCGGGCGGCTCGGCTGCTCGGGCGACTCGGGCGGCTCGGCGGCTCGGCGGCTCGGTGGTACGGCTGCTCGGCAGCAACTGCAGCTTGGCGGCTCGGCGACCCGGCGGCTCGGGCGGCTGAGGTGGCGCTGCGGCTCGGGCGGCTCGGGCGGCTCGGGTGGCTCGGGCGGCTCGGGCGGCTCGGGCGGCTCGGGCGGCTCGGGCGGCTCGGGCGGCTCGGGCGGCTCGGGTGGCTCGGCACTAGCTCGGCGGCGCCGACGGCTCGGTGGTGACGGCGGGGCCGCTTGGGGACGGCGGCGGGGCCGGGTGGAGCGGCGACGGGGCCAGCAGAGGCGGCGCCGGGGCCGGCAGAGGTGGAGCCAGGGCCGCAGGGGCAGGCGACGGGGCCAGCTGAGGCGGGGCCGGGTCGGTGCAGGGCTGCGGGGCCGCAAGGGAGGTGGCGGGGCCGCGGTGAAGAATGGCGGCAGGGGCCGCGACGAAGGGCGGGGCCGCGACGAGAGAGGCGGGGCCGCGACGAAGGGCGGGGTCGCGACGAGAGATGGCGGGGCCGCGACGAGGGGTGGCGGGGCCGCGACGAGGGGCGGGGCCGCGACGTAGGGCGGGGCCGCGACAAGGGGCGGGGCCGCGAGGAGAGAGGCGGGGCCGCGCGCCTCGGGGCGCGCGCCAGAAAGAAAATCGCCGCTCGCACGCCGCGGGGCGTGCGACAGATCGGGTAGCAGCGGAAGCAGTAGTAGGGCCTTAGGAACAGTTCCCACGAGGGAACCTGCTCGATACCATGTGAAAATTGAAACGAGAATGATTCAGCTATGAAAGAGTTGGGTACAAGTACTAACCCTCATTGGGTTGTACCCCATATGGGCTACCCCACTACAGCCTATACAAATGTATAAGCTATATGTTCTGACACGCATGGAAGGAAAATGGGTGAGAGGGAGGGCATTCGGAAAGAGCAGAATAAAAGGGGTGTGAGAGAGCAGAGCAATGAAAGAGGGGGCTGCCACTCCCCCCACCACCACATAGCCCACAATAACAGCACCAGTCATGCCGCTGCCTCCAGCGGTCATGCCACTGCCCCCAGCGGTTATGCCGCTGCTCCCTCCTCTCACCTGCCCCATACAGACCTACCTATCCCAGTTTCCACCTCCCCCAGGTCCCACATGGGCCATCATGGCCTCGACAGTGTAAGGCCCAAAGTCGGTCCCCAGCCTAGCAGCACCATGTGGAGTGGAATCAGGAGCATGTTGCCCGGTACACACCTCCCCCAGTTTCCACCTCCCCCAGTTCTCACCCGTCTCACGTCTCACTTGCCCCATACATGGCCTCTCCAGGTTTCCACCTCCCCCAGGTCTCACCTGGCCCATACATGGCCTCGACAGTGTAAGGCCCAAAGTCCGTCCCCAGCAGCACCTTGTGCCACACAAACGCCTCCCTTATCTCCTGTGCCTGCTGCCACTCAGAGATGCTAGTGCTGCTGCTGCTGTTGTTGTTGCTGTCAGGGGTGGTGGTGGCGGTGCTGCTACTGCTGCTGCTAGTGCCGCTGCTGCTGCTAGCGCTGCTGCTGCTGCTACTGCTGCCGTAGCTGCTACTGCCGTCGTAGCTGCTGCTGCTGTCGTAGCTGCTGCTGATCTTGCTGCTAGTGCTGCTGCTGCTGCTGGCAGGTGTGCTGGTAGCAGTAGAGGAGGAGGAGGAGGGTGGGGGGAAGAAGCGGATGGAGGTGCTGATGGTGGAAGGGGAGAGGATAGACCCGGTGACTGACACAATATCGATCTGTTGTGGGGGTTGGGGTGGGGGGAGTGGGGGAGAATGAAGGGGGAAGGGGTAATGGGGAAGAAGCGGATGGAGGTGCTGATGGTGGAAGGGGAGAGGATAGACCCGGTGACTGATACTATGGCGATCTGTTGCGATGGGGTGGGATGAAGCGAACAAAAAGAGGAAAGGCGAAGAAAGGAAACTGGGGAAAGTGGAAGGAGAGAAGATTGAGTTGGAGACTGGCTGACACAAGGGCGATCTGCCATGGGGGGGTTGGTGGGAAGGATTGCGTGGGGGGGAAAGGGGGAGGAGAGGGGGAAGCGGGGGAAGGAGGAGGAAAGGGAAGAAGCGAGTAGTGGCACGTGAGAGGATCGACCCGGTGAGTGACTGTATGGCGATCTAATGTGTGGGCGGAGGGGAGAAGGTGAAAAAAGGGAACACACTAGCCACCAATCCTACCTGTCTCCCACCTATCACAGTGCCTACCTATCACAGAACCCGCCTATTAAAATTCACATGCCAACACTCCCACCTGCCAACCCTCCCGTCTGCTACCTCCCAACCTACCTGTCCCGACGAGATGCCAATGCCGGTGTGGTTTGCCAGTGTGCAATTTCGACTCATAATGCACCTGCCAGCACTCTCACATGCCAACATGCTAATGCCGGCGTGTTTTGGGTCGCCTCAAAATGCACCTCCCAACAGTCCCACCTACCGACACTCCCACCTGCTCCTACCTAACCTACCTGCCCCGTCGATATGCCGATTCCATTCTTCCCTAAGCTCCCCGCAATCCTCTCTACAAGCAGACTCGCGAGTTCATCATTAAACACCGCATACTGCGGCGCAGTGAGCTTCAACTCCACCTCTAGCGGCGAGACGCACACACAGGCGTTGGTAAGCGCGAGCAGGGGTGGGCTGGGCGCGTAAAGAGAGGGGCAGGAGAGGTCGTCGCAAATGGGAGGGGGCTGGTACTGCATGAAGCCAAGAGGAGGCGAGCAAGCGGCACTGACTGCAGGGCGGTAGGGCACACACAGGTCGTTGCCGTATAGCCTGGAGGAGGGATGGGAACGGAGAGAGGCCCAAATTTCAGCTTAGAGAGAGAAAAGGAAGGCGGCGCAGTGAGCTTCAGTTCCACTTCCAGTTGTGAAACGCACATACAGGCATTGGTCAGCGCGAGCAGGGGTGGGCTGGGCGCGTAGAGAGAGGGGCAGGAGAGGTCGTCGCAAATGGGAGGGGGCTGGTACTGCATGAAGCCGAGAGGAGGCGAGCAGGCTGCAGTGGCTGCAGGGCGATAGGGCACACAGAGATCATTGCCGTATAGCCTGGAGGGAGGGGATGGAAGGAGGAAAAGAAGGCTCACTGGTGACAAAGTGAGTGAGCGAGCCAGCAGGCGCACGGGTTGAGTATCTGAGGGTTGAGTATCTGAGGGTTGAGTCAAAACTCACTGCAGAGTGACGTTTTTGTTGCTGAGCAGAGCAGCAGGCGCATGAGTGTAGTGGTTGTCACGCGGTGAGCAAGTGAATGAGAGGATGGGTGAGAATATGCGCGACCAGGTGTTTGTTGCAACTCACTGCAGAGTGACGTTTTCGTTGCTGAGCAGAGCAGCAGGCGCACGGGTGAAATGGTTATCAAAGAGGGAGATGGTGGCGATGGCAGGGAGCATGTCTAGAGGAGGCACGGGGCCCGTGAGTTTGTTGTCTGATAGCATACTGGGAGGAAGAAGACAAGGGAGAGGGCAGAAGGAGAAGGAGCAGCAGTCGCACGGGTGAAGTGGTTGTGGAAGAGTGAGATGGTGGCGATGGCAGGGAGGGCGTCTAGTGGAGGTACAGGGCCCGTGAGATCATTGTCTAATAGCATACTGGTAGGGGAGAGAGGGAGGGTGGGGAAAGGAGAGGGGGTGAGAGAGGGAAGCAGGACAGGGAGCGCGTCTCGAGGAGGCACAGGGCGTGTGAGATCGTTGTGTGATAGCATGCTGGGAGGGGAGGGGAGGGAGATGGTGGCGATGGCAGGGAGAGGGTCTAAAGGAGGCACAGGGCGTGTGAGATCGTTGTGTGATAGCATGCTGGGAGTGGAGGGGAGGGAGATGGTGGCGATGGCAGGGAGAAGGTCTAAAGGAGGCACAGGGCGTGTGAGATCGTTGTGTGATAGCATGCTGGGAGGGGAGGGGAGGGAGATGGTGGCGATGGCAGGGAGAGGGTCTAAAGGAGGTACAGGGCGTGTGAGATTGTTGTGTGATAGCATGCTGGGTGAACGAAGAGAAGCGATAAGGTAGAAACGGGAGTAGAAGGGGACTGAGCAGCAGGAAACGGGGTCGCAGGAGAGGTGGCAGCAGAAAAGACGACAGCAGAAGAACAGAGCATGGGAGTGGCGTATGAGAGAGGGGGGGTCGCACATGGAGTGGAGGAGGCATGTGAGGTTGGCGGGTGAGAGCATGGGAGGGAAAATGCTGCTCCATAGATATTTTTAGGTTGAAAGTGAGAGTAGTGAGAGTGGTATGGTGTATGGGATGGGATGAAATGAGAGTGATGGGGTCTCACATGGAGTGGAGGCGTGTGAGGTTGGCTGAGGGCAGCCCGGGAGGGAGGTTGCCGTTGAGATGGTTCAGGGCGAGATTGCTGCGACGCGCACAAGGGGAGGGGAGGGAGAAGAGGGGTGGAAAGGGAAGGGGAGGGTAGGGGAGGGGAGGAGGTTGAGATGGTTCAGGGCGAGGTTGCTGCGACGTGCACAAGAGGTGCATGCGGGGAAGGGGCGGGAAGGGAGGAGAGCACGTGGGGAGATGGGGATGTGTTGACATGTGCAGCACTGCAGAGGCTTGGAGCATGCTGGCATGGCGATGGCGATGGCGATGGGGATGGGGATGTGGATGGGGATGGGGATGGGGATGGGGATGGGGATGGGGATGGGGATGTCTTGACATGTGCAGCATTTCAGGGGCTTGGAGCATGCTCGTCAGGCAAGGTGAGAGAGCTAAGGCAGGCAAACGGGGTGAGATGTGGTGCAATGCATGGTGCACTCACAGGGTTACCAGGTCAGGGTGTGTGGTGAAGAGAGCAAGGGGCAGGGGGCCTTGGAAGTTGTTTCGACTCAAATCCCTGAGGGGGGTGGAAGGGGGACGAGAGGCAAGAGAGAGAGGGAGGCGGGGTGCATGGTGAAGAGAGCAAGGGGCAGGGGGTGTTGGAAGTTGTTGCGACTCAAATCGCTGGAAGTGGCAAAACGGCAAGTGGGGAGGGAGGAGGAGGGAATGCAAGGGGGGGTTGCGAATGATTGTTGATAGGGCACAGGCAGCAGGCTTTGGAAGCTTGTCTGTTGTGAGGGGAGGTTAGGTAGTAGAGTGGGCAGAGGGCGAGAGGAGGGGGGAAAAGGTGGGGAGAAGGGGGAAAAGGTGCGTGGAGGGGGGAAAAGGTGGGGGGAGGGGGGGAAAGGTGGGGGTGGGGGGGGAGGGATGGGGAGGTTGCAAATGAGTGTTGAATAGGGCAAGGGATAGGGAGCTATAAAAGGTGTTGGCAACTCAAATCGCGAAAGGGGTTCAAGTCAAGGGAGAGGGTTTGACAGCGGGACTAACGAGCAGAACATAGTGACAAGCTCTGAGGAAACTCAAAGCGCGATGACTTTTGAGTCGACTCAGAAGGTTTGACATTGGGAGCAAAGAGCAGAACATGGTGACAAGTTCTGACTTTTGAGTCCACTCGAAAGTCACCTCGAGAGGGTTTGACATTGGGACTAAAGAGCAGAACATGGTGACAAGCTCAGGGGCACCTCAAAGCTCGGTGGCGAAAAGGGGGAAGAACAAGGTGGGAAAAGGGAGGAGCGGCGCGTGCATGGATGTTGTTGTGACTCATTTTTTTTGGCGCCTAAAAAATTATTGTGAGTCAAATTTTTTAAAGGAGAGAGCAGAGGAGGGAGACGAAAGAGGGTAAGAGGCAGAGGGGGATGAAATAAAGGAATATGAACGATGGTGTGACTAGAATCGCTGTGAAGAGGTCAAGGAAGAGGAAAGAGGAGAAAGGGCAGGAGGCAGAGAGGGGGCGAATAAATGACTGTCGAAGAAACAAGGGCTTATAGACTCAGATATTTCAGAGAATGGAGCTTTACTTTTGAGAATTCTCAAAAGTAAAATTCACATGTGTGGAGAGTTTAGGCGTCGGCTCAAAAGTCAACTAGAGGGGGGGCGGATAAATGTCTGTCGAAGAAACAATGTTTACAGACTCATAGACGTCAGAGGATGAAGTGTGGAGAGAGTAGGGGAGGGCGTACAAGTAGCAGAGTGATGGAGGTCTGTCAAAGGCGGCAGTGGTTGGGGCTGCATGGAGCAATTGTGCATCGACCTGCGTGTGTGTATGGAGGGGAGGGGGGGAAGGGGGAGAGGGGTTAAGGGGGAGAGGGGGAAGGGGGAGAGGGGAAGGGATGCAGTGAGGGAAGGGGGGTGCGTGGCTGCTGAGTTAGAGGGTGGTATGGAAACCGGGGTGGGACAATGGTGAAGAAGTTTTGAGGCGTTTCAAGAAGCAGTTGTGCAGGGTCGAGCATGCATGCATGGAGGAGCGGAGGAGCGGGGGATGGAGGTGGTGGTAGGAGGTTGAGGAGCGGACACTTGGAGTTTTGTGATTGGAGCACTCACAGGTCTTGCAGTGCTGGGAGGTTGAGCGACGGAGGAAGCCGGCCCTGAATGGTGTTGTTTCTCAGATGGCTGCCACGTGGCACACAGTGATTCGAGGACGAGAGGGGCAAACAGGAAACGCAGTCAGCTGATTTTGTTAAATTCAAACAGGACCACTTCGATTCGCCATTAAAAAAAAAAAAAAAAAAAAAAAAAAAAAAAAAAAAAAAAACACACACACACACACAAAAAAAAAAACAAAAAAAAAACAAAAAAACAAAAAAAAAAAACACGCTTACCAAGCACACTGGATTTTCTGAGATTTCTCAAAAAATCCCTGCAACGTATGCGAAGCTGGCATGTCACTAACAGCATTTTCAGCAAATTCCCGACAGGCAGAGAGCACAAGTCTCAAGGCATCCACAACGTGCTTTCATCATATGTGTGTTAACTGACATAGCATAAAGTTATGCCTGCCCTCACATGATCTGCAGGCTGCTGGAGCCACGGAAAGGTCTTGAGACATCTCAAAACACTTCTTCTATCACGTCTCTCACATGATCTGCAGGCTGGTGGAACCACTGAGGCCTGCCGGAAAGGTCTGGTTGAGTCGGTTGTTGTCCACTAGGCTGGTGGGGTGGAGGGGAGGGAAGAGGGGGATGAGAGGAAGGAGGGGGTGACTAATGAGTCGACTAGAAAGCCTGCTAAAAAGCCACTGAGGCCTGCCGGAAAGGTCTGGTTGAGTCGGTTGTTGTCCACTAGGCTGGTGGGTGACGGGGAAGAGTGACAGGGAATGGGGGGAGTGGGTGAGGAGAAGGGGAGGGGTAAGCAGGCAGGGGTGAAAAAATATATGGACCTGAATGGAATCGAGCCCTACAGGAAAGGCGGGACCTGAATGGACCTGAAAGGTCTGGTTGAGGCGGCTGCTGTCGACGAGGGCGGCGGGTGGAGGGGGGGACAGGGATGGACAGACAAGGGCAGGAGGCGGAAGATGAGAATGGGCGTGAGTTGAAGAAGGCGTGCGTGCATGCGCGTTCGTGTGTATGTATGGCCCCATATCAACTGGGAGTGCAGCCACAACGGGGATGGCTTACAGGTGGATGAGGTTTGGGAGGCATCCCAGTTCCCCTGGAACGTATGTTAGCTGGTTGCGACTCAGGTGCCTGGCAGGGGGGGAAGAGCAAGGAGAATCCGAAAAAGAAGGGCGGAATGGGTGGATGGTGGAAGGAAAAGGAGGGATGGTACGATGAGATGAGCGAAGGCTTCACTGGTGTGCCCTGATGACTCTTGCAGAGAGGCGAGGAGATGCGGACAAGAATGGCCGGCTAGAAGCAACAACAGGACCAGAGGCAATGCATGCATGCTGGCGTGAGTTTTGAGGCGCCTCAAAACTCACAACAACAGGACCAGATGCTATGCAGGTCAGCAACAAGACAACACGTTTCTAGTTGACTTGGCGAGAAGCAACCAAGGGAAAGGGAGCCAGGCAAGGGGGGGTACGCACAGGTGGCCGATGCTGGTACACGTGTCGAATCCTGGTTGGACGGGCACAGGCCCTGAGATGTTGTTGTCTGTGATGTCAAAGAAATAGAGGCTGGTTAGATTCGCCACCTGCAGTAGGCGGGGGGAGTGCGAGTGGGATGAAAGGAGGGCAAAAGGATTCAGACACAATAGTTTCTGTGGTATCGGTTGTCTGTGATGTCAAAGAAATAGAGGCTGGTTAGATTTGCCACCTGTGCAAGAAGGAGGAGGGGAGGAGGGTGTGGGAAGAAGATGAGACAAAGGAGTATGCAGTTTGGCAAAAAAAAAATCTTGGGTGCTGCTAGTGTTGTTAGTGTTGTTACTGTTGTCAGTGTTGTTAGTGTTGTTAGTGCTTTTAGTGTTGTTAGTGTTATTAGTGTTGTTAGTGTTGTTAGTGCTATTAGTGCTGTTAGTGTTATTAGTGTTGTTAGTGATGTCAGTGTTGTTAGTGATGTCAGTGTTGTTAGTGATGTCAGTGTTGTTAGTGATGTCAGTGTTGTTAGTGATGTCAAAGAACCAGAGGTCTGTTAGATTCGCCACCTGCAGCAGCGGGAAAGGAGCGGATGGTGCAGTGAGGTATTCACCTGTCTGGGAATGCTGCTGGAGAGTTGATTGCTGTTGACAGCAAAGAAGTTGAGATTCCTCACAAGGCTGATGGTTGCAGGGCTGGGGTGGGATGGGAGTAGTGTAGTGCGGTGAAGTACGGTACGCACATGTCTAGGGATGCTGCCAGAGAGCTGGTTGCTGTTGACAGCAAAGAAGTTGAGCTTTCTTAAGAGGCCGATGGTTGCAACTTGAAGGGATGGTGATGTGAATGGTTCTGTGCGGTGAAGTACGGTGTGTACCTGTCTGGGAATGTTGCCGGATAGCTGGTTGCTGTTGACAGCAAAGAAGTTGAGCTTTCTTAAGAGGCTGATGGTTGAAGGTATGGATCCTGACAGGTTGCATCCGTGCATGTCCCTGGTGGAATGAGATTCAGTGCGGTGGATTGTAATAGAGAGGGATAAAAGAGGATATAGAAGAGAGAAAGTGGGATTGGGAAGGGGAGTTGGGCATTGGCGGTCTGTGTACATGCTTGTCCCTGGTGTTTCCGATCCAGCGTATTGAAGTGCGATGAAGTGCGGTAGAGAAAGGTGCAAAGAGAGGTGGTAGTAACAGTGTAAGGGGAGCGGCAAAAGCGAGCGATTTATTACAGGGTATATTCACTCTTAGCATGGAGATGATGTTGCTGCTGCCGTGCTTATGGCAGAAGGCTAAACGGCAGTATGTGAAATAAACGCTAGAGCAACAAGATCAAGAGGGTACCCGGATCAAGAGG